TGAACTTATTGTTAAGATGCTATAAATTGCTCTACTTTAGACATGAATTGCAGGTATTTATTAGCTTACCAAAATTCTTCGGTTTCATATTTTACATAGTATATCTATATGTCGTAATTAACAGATTTTTAGTTATTTTACAGCATGCGTAAAAAACTTAGACTTTTACGCTTTGGTTCTACGCTTTACAATTTACCCATTTTTCGCTTCTAGGTAGAATCATTATTTTGACTGAATTGCCCCCAAGTATCTAACATGCAACAACCCTTCTTAAAGCTCTGACTTCATTATTAGATCTATTCTTAAAACGTCCTCCATCCCTCCAAAAGAGTTCAGTTTTTTGTGGATTACATTCGAGGCCATAAATCCTATAAAATTGTTGCAAGATCTCATCCACACCCTGAACTCCCTCCACAAATCACTCAGTGAATATTAAGAGGTCATTGTAAAGCATAGGTGAGTAAACCTATTCTTTGACACTATGGGTGAACAATGCAGTCAAAATCGGGATTTTGATCGTAAAATCGTAGGATTTTAGGATTTTGCTTAGGGATTCTGATCCTAATTTTACTATAAAATCGGTGGACCTTAAAATCGTTCAAAATCGGGATTAAAATCGTTAAAATCGGGACTAAAATTGTTAAAATCGTACCAAAATCGGGATTTTGATCGTATGTAAACAAAATAGGCGTTTGAGCCAATTCAAAAGAAGCATACCTGTTTCGGCGAAAAGGCCAATGACGAGGATCTTCTCAGATATTTTTCTATTAAATGAACATTTGAAAAGAAAAAAACCCAAATTAGGGTTCGGTTGACCCCTTCCCCTTCCCCTTGTTTAACTCATCGGAAAACCGTTTTCATAATATTATAAATATGTAAGAATTAACATCATTATTAGCAAATTAATTGATTACTGAATATATTTGTACCAAACCAATGACATTAATTATTTTATTGGAGTTAACTTATTCTTAGTTTTAAATCATGCTTAGTAGATGATGTCGGAATACTACTTTGAGTTAAACTACCTAAACAACAAGAGGCAAACCCCATGAGCTCTATCCCTTTCTCATAAATTATTTTGAGTTACGCATTAAATAACAATTAAAATGATAATTTTGGAATATCAATCTTGAAAATTATCATTTTAAGTGTTATATTTCTTTGTTTTATTAATGATTTGCCTTATTAATATTATTATAATTTATATATGATACTTAAAATCCTACGATTCTACGATTCGATTTTACGATTCCGATTTTACCCCAGTTTTCGATTTTAGCTAAAATCCCTATTTTAACTGCTTTGTGGGTGAAAAGGTATGAACTTTGTTTCACTAGTGCTCTTAAGCATGCAACTCAGAACTTCCATAGCTATTGCAAACAAGTAGGGTGAGAGAAGATTCCCCTTCATCAACCCTTTCTTTGCTTGAAAAGGGCTAGTAAAAATCTCAATGATGCATACAATAAATGTAGTAGACAATCCCTATTACACTGTCGAATGCCTTCATGATATCTACTTTCACAACATATTTATGTGAGATATTCTTCCTTCTGTACCACTTAACCATCTCATGAGCTATTTTTATAATATTATCACTGATCATCCTCCATTTAATGAAGGTTGACCGGTTCTTACTGATGACTAGCGCTAAGACCTCTCTAAGCTTACCAGATATTATTTTTTATATGCATTTCTAAAACATTTGCAGCAAGATATAAACCTATATTGTTTCATTGTTGCAACAATGAAAATTTTAGGTATAAGAATAATGATGGTGTTGTTTACTTCTCTTAGTAGTCTATATGACATGAAAAATTCTTGCACCTCTTCTATGACTTTATGCCTACCAAACTCCAATTGTCCGGAAAGAATTATGGTGTGAACCCATCTGGTCCATGTGCCTTGTCCCATGGTATCCCAGAAACCACAACCTTGATCTATTCAGAAGTAACTGGCATACACACAAAAATCCACATCTTCGTGTAATCGGTGATTTAGCAACTACTTGATCATTCGAATATGGTATTTCATGGCTTTCTTGTCCTCAACTCCCAATACTCCCTCATAGAAACTCAGTGCCTCCTTGCTTATCTCTTTCACATATGTTACTACTTTCCCTTCTGTAGATATCAGTTGTCTTATTATTATTTTTAATTCCTAGACTTTACTGCATATTGGAAGAATTTAGTATTCCAATCCCCACTAGAAATCCACATTTGCCTTGACTTCTGAAATATGTATTTTCCTCAATACGCAGTAGCTCAGGAGGCTGGACCATACATCCCCATTCATTGTCAAATTCCTAAGGGGTCGGGTGCTCAAAGGCCTCCAATTGAGCTACTGCAATTGCTGCTTTGGCTACTTGTACCCTCTCATGGATATTAGAATAGTGAACTCTATTTAGCTTCTTCAACTAAGCCTTAATCTTCTTCATCTTCTAGTATGTCCAGTACATTGAAGAACCTTTGACTTCGTAAATCCACCCTTCTTTAACCATTTACTCATATCCTTGAGGTTGCTTCCAGTAATTGAAGTATTTAAATGTTTAGGGTATTGTCTTTGTACTCGTGTCTGAATGAATCAGAATCCCACAGTGGTCCGAGAACCCTGGATGAATTATTTTAACAACGCTTTTGGGGAATGTTGTTATCTAGTATATGTATTCACAAGTGTCTTATCTAATCTTTTTGAAATGAAAATTCCTGTCTGCTTATTTTTTTCACGTGTACCAAGGTCCATCCACTCTATGATCTACCAGTTGCATATCCTCAATCCAACTACAAAAATTTGAAGTACTCTCTCCTAATTTTACCCAGTTTGATGCTTTACTTCTATTTTATCATTGCATTCAAATCCCCCATCACCATCCATGACCTCATATTATCTAATTTTCTTCTTAGCTTATGAGACATGCTTTGTCTGTCCATGACTTCATTTGAACCATACACAATTAGTATTTGCATTTCCTCCACACCCTTCACTATTCCATGGATAAATTGATCTCCCCTATCCCGAATAGAAAAATCCATCTCCTAACTCCAAAGAATCCACATTCTTTCTACTTAAGTAGCTGAATAAACCTCCTCCAACATCCAATAAGGGAAGTACTTAAAATATATCCTTTACCTTCTCTTTTTTATTCTTATTTCTAAGACAACAACAAAATCTACTTTAAATAGACTTATTATTTTAACAATTTCCTCTTATTTTTAGAGCTATTGAATTCCCTCATGTCCTAGGATCATTTTTTACGCCTGCCTGGCCTCGTATTACCTTCCTCTTGCTCCCCCACACTCTTACTCAACTCAGGAAACTCCTTATGATTCTTTAAAGGGGATACCATCAATGATCCCACTGAAAATTTATATAAAGTAGCCAGCATCGGTACCCTGAATGAATTTTCCTTGTCAACTGCAGAACCTCCACAACTGCCTGGAATTCCTTATTGGAGGGAAGTGAAACACCTTTGTTGCTCCAGTCTTCCTTTATCTCAGAATCTTCACCAGTATCCAGCTGATGAGGTGAATTACAAATCACAAGTTCCTATTAATGCATCAGCAGTCCCTCTTGAACTTGCTACTCCTGATCCTCTATCACCTCTTCAGAAGAAATCATAGACATGTCCAAATTGCTTACTGCTCTCACAAACCACTTGATGGTTACAATATCCGATCTAAACAAAGAAAGTTGGCCTCCTATCAGGAACCAATATCAAGACCTCCGGTAACTCAGAGTGAATCCCCATCTCCACACACATTTTCGGATAACCTAAACGTCTCCTAGTCCTGAAACTTCCAACCATAGAGGCTTGCCTACCATGCTGGCTAAACGAGTAAGGATGTGTCACATGAAATTTTCCAGTGCATAAATTTTCCTCATAGGGGAGTCACTAGTTTTGGACTCTCTACCCTAATAACAGACTCCGATTTCCTCAAAGTGCACATATCGTTGTGAAGATGCCACAGTCCACTAGTAAACACCCAATGCACAGTCTTCGCAGTTGAAAATTGAAGAGGTAGCAATTTCTGTCCTACCAAGAAACCCTAATTGTCCCACTTTTCCATGTCATCCTCGAGCTCCGCCGGAATTTTGATTCCCGCCATCCACGATTTCTGGTTCGATATAGACAAGTTTGCTTTCCTCCATGATGTCGAACATGTTAGGCCAAGCACGCTCACTCACCATCGATATTTGAGAATTGCACATGAACGATGTTTAAGAAGACGAAAAGATGGAGCAGATGCCCAACGAAGATTTGAGGATGGCGAGTCACACGAACACCGGCGCCGACCGAGTTGCGCTCAACGGATTTTTGCACTTTCTTTCTCTCTCTAATGACCCCCAAGGTGTTTTTATTTTTATTTTTTAAACAATCGCTTTGTTATATACTTATTGGATGATCCGTTGAGATAATTATGATCATGAAATGAATATCCATCACATCCGTCGAAATATCTATAGTTGGTTAAGTCATGCATGCCATGGTGGTGGGACTGGGAGGGGTTATGTATGTACTTCCATGTTATGCCCAGCAGTTTTGGGCTGGGGACTAGACTTAGACTAAGACTAGACCACTTTGTCCGTTCGTTGGTGTAGCAGCAGTAATAGAGTAGTAGCCATAAAGCAAGCCAAGGGGATGTGGGCACAACAACACAACACAAGCTTCCAAACAAAGGGAATTTAATGGAAAGTGAGATTTTGCAATTGCAAGGTTTATTCCCCTCCTTGTCCCCCCGATCACCACTACGTCTACACACACATGTCCGCCTGCCTACTTTCCTCTCTAAACTACTGCCCATCTTTTTTTCTTATAAAGCACAAATAAATTAACAATCAAAATTCTATCGACAAATAAATAAATAAATAAATAGCTAATTAATTAATTAAGCACAAACCAACGAACACCCACCCCTTCTTCTGTTCTTCTTCTTCTCCTCCTCCTCCTTCTTGGTTCCCCTTTATAATTCCCTTTTTATTTATTTATACCAATCTCCCGCTCCTCCCTCCCCTTCTTTCTTCTTCTTCCTCCTCCTCTCTCTCTCTTTCTCCCTCCCTGTTAAATGGGTTTCTCTTTCTTGTCGTCTCCTCCATTAGCAGCACTAGTAGTAAATAACAACAATCCATCTTATGGCCTCACCACCAACTAACTCCTCCTCCTCCGACTCCACAGATCCATCATCTCAAACCAACGCTCTCCCAATCCATGGCGTTTTATGAACGGGGACGGAGGAATTTCCTTAAAAACAGCGGCGGAGACGACCATCACAACTGCTGCCTACTTCAATCTCCTAATTCGGCGGCCCTTTTCCTCGTCGGCCGCCGGATATGACGATGTTTCCGGCCGCCTCTCATCACCACCACCAAAACAGCAGCTCCACGACTTCCACTCCTCCTCCTCCTCCTCCCTTCAAACACCACCACAGTAGCCGTCGCCGCCGTTCCGACGACGGCGGAGGTTATGGTGCTGGCTTCGAGATCTCCACCAGCGATATCATCGACGCCGACGCCAACAACAACAACAACATTCGCCAACAGAGCTGCAGCAGCCGCCGCCGCCGCCGCGGGAATTGCCGTAGCGCCACCAGCAGCAATAGCAGCCGTCGTCGTCTGCCGATGGCGGCGGAGGAAGATGAGTCGAGAACCAACAGCAATACCAGCCTCAACAACGAAGCAGCCACCTCCACTTCCAAAATCGCCGCCGCCGCCGCCGAACAAGAAGTTGTCGTCAGGCTGCCGGAAAACCGATTAATGGCCGGCTCCGCTTCTTCCTCCTCATCCTCCTCGTGGCTCCAGCTCAGCATCGGCGGCGGGGCTCCGGTTGAAATCCCAGCGACGAGCAATAAAGATCATCAGCCGCAGAGGCTGGATCCAGCCGGCGGCGGCGGAGGAGGACTTATCGAGCTCGATCTGCTCTCCAGCGGCGGCGCAGGCGGAAGCTTTTACCGACCAACCTTCACCGCTGCCTGCAGTCCGATGTTTCTGGACACAAACGCTCATCCGCCGCCGCTGAGGCCAGTAGCGATGAATGCGGCTGTACCGCCACCGTCTTTCTTCTTCCAGCCGGCGGCGGCGGGAGGAATGTTTCGCCCTTCTTCTTCGTACCCCTCCATCCAATACCTACATCAACAACAGCAAGACGTAAACTACTGGCCTTTCAGCAGGCCGCCGCTTAGCTCCGCCGCGTCGGCAGTGATGCATCATCATCATAATAACCCTCAAATGGCGGCGGCTCCGTTTTTTGCGCGGCCGTTTCAGTTGTTCGGGGATCCCGCTCCCGGCGGCGGCGTGTCTTCCAACGAGGAGTTCAGAGTGATGGATCCTCCGAGAAGGCCACACTCCGGCATTTGGTTCCTCCTTCAACCCTCCCTCTCGCAGTAAGTCTCGCCATTAGAGAATGGCATAAGATTCATTTTTTTCGTATTAAGTCTAATCAGTGTTTTTTTTATCTCTGTTAATCCGCAATCATAATTAATGCAGATCCAAAGAGCCATTCTTGCCTCCATTGCACAAGAGCTACCTCAGGATCAAGTAATTAAACCTTTGTTTCTCTTTAATTAATTAATTATTAATCAAGATAAGCTTAATCACTGATGATCTATATGCATCTTACGGCTATATTGTAGGGATGGAAGGATGACGGTTCGGTTGTTAATCAAGTATCTGGTTACCAAGCTCAGTTTGGATAGCGATTCAGAGGTATTTTATTTTAATTATCCGTCTAAATTAAATTTCACTGTTTTGTAGCTGCGATTATGTTTTAATATTTATCATCATCACAGCATCAATTTTGGCGAAACTTGCTAAAAACATTAGCTGAGGATGACTCCCCCGAAATGGAAAACCCCCCCGAATTGGTTTATATGTGATAATAATTACTTTGTTAGAATTAGTACAACATATACATATTACTGGCGAGCTAGTACTTGTGCTATCAGGAAATTAGTAAGAACATTAGGGCCAGGAGTGACGAACCAAAAATGGGAAACTTCCCCATTTGCTTGTTGATTGTTGTTGCTGTTGTGTGTCTTTTCAGTCAAGGAATTAATAGGTAATGGTGGGATGGTGGAGTAAGTGTGGGTTTGACGGAGAATGTGTATCAAATCTACGTTTGATTTGGATTATTAGATGGGTTGAGATTTGAGAGTTTGGGTGTTGGAGGAGAAATGACAGCAACTGCAGAACTAACTTCCACCACCAGTTTTAATTAGGTGAGGCAACACGAGCTTAATTACACTATAAATACCGTCGTCCCGAAAGAGTTGGTCTAATGGTAATGAGTGGATTCAATTAAATCTGGAATTTGAATACACCAGCTTGTTGCAGATTTGGGTGGGCACAGAAGCCGGAAAACATAAACATTCCATATCTTGCGTTAGTTAAGAATGTTTTCGTCAATTCAAACCAAGATTTGTGAAAGGTGGGAGGGTTCAATCACATGTGTGTGTAAGTTTGTTTGTTTAGTGGAGAGAAGAGAGAAAACTACCCACTACCTTACGTCCAATACCCTCAACATTTGTCCGTTAAGTAAGAGGCTGGCTAGTGGTCTGTCTAGCTGCACCCATGCTAACTTAATTAATTAATTAATAATTATACCAATTAAACCGGAGTTTGTTTAATTTATGAATTAATTAAACAGGAAATTAAACTAGTTAAGATCGTCATGCACAGCAAGTGAAGTGATTCGCATAAATTCTCCTACCTTTGCTTTTGGTTTGTACCATAATAGTTGGGATTTGGGAATCAAAAAGCTTTAATTTGAATGAGTCGTACGTGCATGGCATATTGGCATTCGAGTTGCTTCTGATTAACTGTCTCTAGCTAGCCAGCTAAAGATGAACAACAACAAGTCCTTACTTAATCTTAGTTTCTAGTTTGTACTCGTTCATGACGGCTATAGAGAGGACCAGAGGAGGAGTCGCCATGGCAACCGCAGATACAAATAAAGTTAGGGATCGGTTGGTGGTTTTTTATTTTGTGTGACTTTCTAGTAAGGGTACGTAATCTTTTAATTTGGACTGTTTCTATGCATTAATTAAATTCAATGGGGATGTAACTACTAAGTACGTAGATTTCTCATGAAACGGATTGCCTTAATTTGTTTCTTCCACGTAAATTCAGTTGGGAGCGTGGGAAAAGGGTTTTGTGTGTTTGAGGCGGATGCGAGCGGGTGTTTTGTTTTGTTTTGTTGTTATATACATATACGGACGGTATTAATTAATTAATTAATGGTTCAAGTAGTTAATCCGTGTTAGCGCTGGAAACTCCACATCCTCGGCGGTATGTGCAGAGCATATAAGCCATGCATGCATCTTGTTATTGTAGTCACCTTGGTTTGTCACACTAGATTGATTTTCATGGTGAACAACGTCGACACCAAGATGTGCTAGCTGTTATTCATTCACCAAGATGGTTTGTCAAAACTTCGCGTTAGCTAGAGGGAAATTAATTTAGTGATGGGTATTGTCCAAACTCGATTTACTATGGGTGAAATCGAGTTTGTGTAATATCATTTTTGGACATTACTCATACCCGAATTTTTAGTTTTTGGTTTAAATGAGGTTCATTTCATTAGATACTCATAAGAAAATGGTACACAAGTGTAATGTGATTTTTGCTCTTTTCTTTGTTCTAAAACATACATAAATGTGAAACCGTCAACATTGAAGTTGTTAATTGGTTGAAGGCGAATAGTGAGATGATCGATATTGCTTTTTCGTGTGTATAATTATATAGAATCGTTTTGGGTCAGACCCAAATGGGTTGAACCAACCCTAACTAAAACATTCTGGATCCAACCCAACACTATGGATCATGACAATTAGAAACAATGAGTCTGATCATTGTCGTATGTCCAGTTATCAATGATGGTTTTATTAGGATTTAGGGCATGTCGTTAGACAAGTGAGCATGGATATACACATCTAAGTATCAACATACACCACCTACATAGAAAACTAAAAAGAAGTGAACACCGTGGAGGAAGCTAGGAACATGTAAATGTGAATTTACAGTTGTCTAAGTATGGCGCTTTGGTTTTAGCATAGGAGAATGGGAAGTGTGATAGGTAAGAAAACTCTTATATTGATTAGTTGAAAGTTAGGTGGAGTAGTTTGTCGATATACATGGGGGTGTTACCAAGACAAAAGAAGAAGAAAAAAGATAGAGGTAGCTAGGAATGCATGCAGAGAGTGACAAAACCCAAACACGGTGACGGTTTTCTCAACTCAATCCTCGGTCGGTCGAGATTGTGTCGTATGGGAAGAAGAATGCGTTACAATATAGAGTGCTCCAGCGACGTAGCTAATTAAGGACAATATTTGAATGCTAGCGCCTCATATATAAAAAAATAACAATAATATTTAATTATCATCACCTTAGTTTATGTAAAATTATAATGAATAGAAACTCACGTACATTGCTTGTCATTAATTGGACCGCGTGTGTGTTTTGTGTTTCTATGTGGTATGGATGATACATGATGCTGTGTCTCTAAGTGCGGCGCATGTTGGGTTTTTGTCTGTATCTTGTCTTAGTTACTACCTAACACCACGACATATAGCTAAGCTAGGAAGCATCGAGTTTTGTTTTTGTTTTCTTCTCAATTTGAACGAGTATAGTAGTAGTAATGGCGTTCAAACATGCAAAGTCTTTTGTGTTTTATGCATAGCTAGTCAACCGGGTGCTGTCTTTTTGTGGCGTGACTCGGGAATTGGAACGAACATAAATGTTAAAAAGCTGTGGGCTGTGTGTTGTTTGTTGGTTTCGATGAGGGTTCGAGGCATGCCATGTTTTGCAAGGGAAGTAAGGTTAAGGAAGTAGTTTGATGTCATCAATCACTCCAAAATTATGTATTAGACGTATCGTAACCCTATTTTGTCTCTTGTTTCATTCCTGCATAGACTATAGTTTGACAGCTAATCACCAAAATGGAAAAAACGAGCTGTTTACGATAAAGATCAACGATCATAACAACAAAACCCAAGCTACGTGTATGTAATTACATAGTGGTGTTAGCAAGAGAGACATATCTTTTTTAAGTATAGAGTTTATGATACATTAACGCAACTGATTAGGCGTTCTGTGTCGATTTGCTTGGTGCTATGATTAAGTTTCACGAAATTATCACTCTTGGTCGAATAAAATGGGAAAAATTGATCAAGAGTGAAATTTAGCTTGAAACATGCTATAGGGGATGAAGGATATGATATAGGGATTGCAATAGTCAACTTGGTGCCGTTGATTTGGCAAAAATTCTTTGTTTTTTTTATGGATGAAAATGCCACTGCCGGCAAGCTAGGTGACATCAAAATAAACGTATAAAATATATAAACAAGTAAGAAGAGAATTACAACTGGACACCTCAGAAGAGCAGGGGATTGGCGTTCCCATGCAGCCAATGCAAAGACCTGGAATTTAAAACCTATAATAATAATAATAATTGTATATATACATATACGTACATGGATGGTGGAGTAGTAGTGTACATACATACAGCTTTTTATTGTATACAAATAAGCGTAGAATCTCAACAAACACAGATAGCAGCAGCATCGGCCAGCTAATTAGGTAGTGTTTTTAATTAATGAAGGAAGTGTTGTAGTTAATAAGAATCCTTGGTAATCAAAATCAAGGTCAACTTAATTCGATGTGGGTGTGAATTGGGATATATGGGCGGCGTGGGGTTGTGAAATTAATTAGTAGGGCGAAATTAAAAGTTAGTCTCAGTTTAGTTTGATTCATTAATTAATCATAATTAATTAAGGACGGTTGAGACAGCTGGGGAATGCCACGCATGCATGCAGGCGCACTGATTTCACACGAACCAGCTAATTAAGTTTTCATGAGAGTCGGGTTAGCGTCGGCATGCAGCAGCTAGGCAAGTAAAATCCCCGCCCTCCAATCATTAAGCCTTTATGTGAGGTGAAAGATAGGTTAAAAAGGGGTTGGTGCTAATATTGAGATTCGTCAAAAGTTAGATGGGATTTTACTAGAGGTAAGTTAATAGTATGATATTTTGTGTTAAGACTGTGGTTTAATTGTGATTTAGTTTTATATATTGCTAAAATTATTTAGTGATTTTGACTTTGGTATCTGGATTTTTCTGATAGCATTGCTGATACAGTATGTTTTTGCAAATATTGGTGTTTATACTTAAATTATAATTTATCTAAGTAAATGGACAATTTATTTGATCCACTCGTTTGAATACTTAAATTGTCGTAACTATAAAAATTGGTTTGAATCACTAGAAAAAAATTGTAAGTTCGGCTTGAATCTCTGAAATATAGTCTAATTGCCAAACATACAATTATAAATGTGTCTAATTTTATATTGAATGCAAAAATCAAGGGTTCATATTTTGGGGGTTGAAGTCTTAACAAATACATTCTTTGGAAGTTGTGATTTTTCACATTTAGTGATAACCATTTTTCTCCTCAAATTTCTTACCCATTTTATATAACAAAGTTGTAAAGATTTCCAGAATTGCTAAGGAATCTATGAATTCTATTACGAACAAGAGTTTGGTCTATTAGTAATATCACTAGTCTAAAACTTAAAGGCATCAGGTTCGAATCCCTTAAATAGTAGCTTCATCACAAAAAAGTAAACATATATCACCCTAATAAAAAAATCTAAGGATTCTATTAAACCACCCTCTCACTCGTGTTTAGTCTAAAAATGAAAACCATAATAATAACTGTAAACCAAATCTAGCTAGCTAGTTAAATGCAAATAATGATTCTTAGAACCTCGAAATTCCAGCGTGCCATGGATGATGAATGATGACGGAATGAATGGTTGTGTGCTACACATAATTTGAAGCATTAATATATAACCATAAAAATGATAATATATATATATATATGGTGGCAACTTCGGTGCACTCACTTTTTTGGGTGCATTCAGTGCACCCACCTCTAAAAGTGGTCATAATACATCAAATTTTGAAATTTAATGGGTAGCATTAGTCTCATATGATGATATAACACAGAATCACAACTAATCAACTCATTACCCTAACCTATTAACATTCAATTTTGAATCTAAACCCAAAATCCCAAATTGTAAACCCTAACCCTAACCCTAAATTCCTAAACCCCGAATCATTCAAATTAAAGTGAATCTTGAATGATTTTTGTACAAATTCATGTGGTTCTTGTTCATCATACTACAAGGGATGATTGACATCGTTTTCACATGAATCGCCTGCTCAGAATGACGATTATGAGGCGGGTGCATTGAATGCACCCAAAAAAGTGGGTGCACCGAAGACATAACCATATATATATATATATAAAACCTGATGAGAACATACATACACACATTTATATAGCGAATGATTACACTACATATATATGTATGGAAATGGAACCCCACGATGGCTGTACTGTACGGGGAAAGCGATCGAGGAAGAGGAGAGGATCTTTTGTTCATGTTTGCAAGTAAAGGGCTGCTACGTCCTCCTCTCACTAATTATTACTTATTAGTATGGGAGAAACATTTTGGTGGTGTACTCTACCAAATGCTTATTGGTTTCTGGTTGGTAATCATTTATTCTTTTTTCTGCTTTTTTTTTTTAACACTGTGATTATGATCGTTGTTGACTTTTCTTTTTCATCATATATATATATTATAATGTATTCAACTATAGGTAGCGTACGTGAAGCGGGGTTAGGGTTGGGGTTTAGTTTAGTTAATTAGGGTTCTTAGTAGTTGACACGCGTTAGTTTGCCAGTTATGCAATGGATAAGTTCAGTTCCTTGATGAGAAGCCAACAACAAACTAGAATCAATATAAGAAAGGGGAGATTAAAATTTAGAGCACGTATATTTTTATAAGGCTATATTTATAGAAAAAGCGATGAGATAGAATCAGATTTAAGGAGAGAGCTATGTTAGCGAGGTTCATAAGTTAGGTTTGGAGAAACATTACCCTCAATAAGTATTACTCCTAAGTCTCAACAATTGAGTACATGTATAATATAAAAGCATGCTCACCTCTCTAATTCTCTCACTTTTTAAATGTTTCGTAATATAAATACATTGCTTTGTCAAATAACAAAATTTTATCACTTATGAATTGATATTTTGTAAAATAATTTTATTAATTATTTAATTTCCATAATTGATTAATACCCTACCTTCAAATAAATTCTTCATTCTACCATTGCATATAAAAAAACCTTAGCAGTAGGGGGTGTACATGGGTCGGATGGTTCGGGTTTAGCCATTTTAATCACCCGACTCATGCACTACGGTTTGAGAAATATTAAACCCAATCTCACCCAAAATATTAAAACCTTACGGTTTGTTTCTAATTGGGTTGGGTCGGGTTGGCAATATTTTTAAGTAAAAACTCAACCCAAGACAAAATATGTAGTTATTCTACACCATAAAAATATTTTATAACTAATTAAAATTTCAAACGTATAAACCGATGTGAAGGGTATCAAAATTTACAACTTCAACACATGTCTAGTTCTTTTCACGACATTTGTTAAAATAGACTAAAAATGTTATAAACGAACGCATTCATAATATGCTATTCTACTAAAATTGTACACAAGAAAAATGATTATGTGAATCATAGCTATATTAAATCTATATCTAAACTTTGAGCCGATGAATGCATTAGATTAGAGACACCATGAGAGAAAAATATGGCGAAATATCTTAATTTTTTTTCTAAGTATGGCTATATACGACATAAATATTTTTTGGATACGAACTCATATCAATAGTTGGAACATGGGTTGGGTCGGGTTCTACGGGTTGTGTAATCCAAAATCCAAACCCAGCTCAAAAAAGGCGGGTTGTACAAAAGAAAACCGTCACTAAACCCAAAACTTTAGCTTTAACGATAAATACGGGTGGGTTGGGTTGGACGGATGGCTCGATTTGCGGGTGTGCTTGTTCATTTTGCTGAGGAGGATACCCAAAAAAATAACTCAAATTTGGATGTTGCCTCTCAAGATCCTTTCGTCACGCTTTCGATTACTCCACCTCACTCATGCACCCCTTCTCTCTCTTCCGACATCTATCTATCTAAGAGCAACCAAATCATTATCATCGTTCATCATAATCCCATAGCCCATCTCTCTCGTTCTGGTTTCATGGTAGGTCCATTTCCACTCTCTATATCCATTGATTTTCATGAAAGAAAAGTGCCCTCCCATGGAAAGGATGGAACAAACATTTGTGCTCCAAATCCATGACCACCCATGAAAGAAAAAAGCAAAGAAGAGAAAAAGTACCTCCCCTTTGTTTTAGTGCTGCACTTTCTTTTCTTCCATGAAAGACCCTACCATCCAATCACCCTTACCCTACAAATATCTCAAACAACCCATCCCACTTTCGCAACGCAAAAACTCCTATCTGTAATTATTTCTCATTACAAAAAAAGAAGAATTCACCATACCCATCCTTCTTCCTCCACCGATCGATTGGATGGCAGAAAAGGAGAAGAAGAGGATATTTTACGTGGGAGGAAAGCAATGCATGCGCCCATATTCATTCCACTACCCAATCATTCCCAAGCTGCTGACCTCTTCTTATTAACAAACCAAATTGCCCAAAAAAAAAAAAAACTCAATTCTGTTTTGCAAAATTGATTGATTGGTTGCTTGCTTGCTTGATTTTTATATATTTTTCATGTTAAGCAAGGGAATATATGCATGCAAATCTTTTGTCATTAATTATTAAGAAACTGGTTAGTATAATTGTAGGAATTTCATCTCACCTACTATACATCATATTAGGTTGAAGGAGGATTTTGGGGGAATATTTGACATTCTGCTGGTGATATTTTATAAGTTGGGGGGTTCTGTAGTAGAAAATGGAAAGTAAACGTGAGGGAGACGTGCATGACATGAGACGGATATGAGTTGATAATATTATAATTCCTTTACCCACCCTTTAATTTTTCCCCCCTCTGTATTTCATGTAATCATTTATAATTATAAATCAGTTTGGGGTTAGGTAATTTACGTTAGGAAAAATCAAAACAATAATTTATCATATAAATCATTCTCTTTACTTTGATGATAATCTTGACCTAAAGAATGCTTGCTTCTTCCCCGATTGTTTAGATATTCTTAATGCGGTGATGATCATGATGGAATTTATAAAGAATAATCAACGTGGCTCATGATTTTAATTTTGGCGTAGGAACAAAGTCTCCCCATGGGCCACGTACTATAGTAATGATCACATCATATAGAAATTGGGGCACACCTCCCTCCACTAACCTACCTCTTCATTCTCTTCTTCACCCATTAACCAATTATTATTATTGTTATAGCTTCCCTTTTTGTTTTTCCATTGGTTGCACTCTTCTTCTTCTTCATTTCTTCTTCTTCTTCTTGACCCAACTAACCATCCCCTTCCTTCAAGTAACGGGAAGGAAAACAACCCTAAAACGAAAGCCCATGAAAGGGAAACGAGCGGTAGATATACAGAGATGGAGCTGGGTAAAGAAGTAGACGTAGGGTAGCGATCAGAAATCATATCATCAATTTTGCCGTCTATTTACGTATAAGAAAGAATCTGTGCTAGCTGGCCCATTGTGGTTCTTCTCTCCATCATCCATGCATGTACATAGTTCCAACATTGTTTCCCTTACTTGGGTAGAAAGTTAACCAGGAATCCACAAAGCGTTTCTTTATTATCTAGTGAAGTGACAATTGAATTGAATTGAATTGATGGATGAAGTTGGTTGGTTTTTGGTTTTGGTGTTGCAGATAGAGATAACATGTAGAGGACAAAAGCTGCCACCATTCTTGACGTTGCAGCATGTAAGGGATAACATATGGAGCGGTGCAAGGGAAGGAATGGTGACTTTGCTTGCGGACCAAGGAGACTACTCTTCCTCTTCGCCATCTCCATCGCCTGCTAACTCCCCAGCCTCTTCATCATCTGATCATCTCATGATCCTGCATTACGCTAGGACCACCACCACCACCACGACTTGCTAATGCTTCTTAATTAATAACTCTCCTGATTAATTATTGAATTAATTAATCCCACCCCCCACAATTAATCAAAGGGAACCTGAAAAAAAAAACACAAAGAAAGAACCATGCTTTAAGTTATTATGTCTTTTGGTCGATTTCTCATCTTCATTTCTTGTTTTCTTTTAGATTATTTTGTTCGCTACTCTAATTTGAGAGAAAGGGAATGGTTTTTGAGGTACTACTACCACCCCAGGAAACGATGTTTACAGTTTGCTGGGGTGATTAAGATGAATAACATAACTTGCAGGGGTACCACTGTTTTTTCTTTTCCTTCCCTTTTTCCACCAAGCTATATCTACTTTGCGGCTTGTGTATAAATTGTGCACGCTTTGTGGTTCCTTTGTAAGTTGTAACCATTGCATGCCAACTCGCTTGTATGGTCGCTAATTTCTTGTACCTAGCTAATGTTTTTCGGGTTCCTTTTATCTGTTTGTAAAGAGAAATGGTGTAGCATATTGCTCTCCATTTGGGACTAGCATGTGTAACTTAAGCTTTATGCGCCCCATATGGTGGTTGATATTTGATGTATATGTCCACCAGCTTCATTTGCCTTTTTTTTTATTGCCAAGCATCCTACTGTTGCCTCAAGTTATTTTAGCTGTATTATTAGGGCTGCAAATGAGCCAAGCCGCTCGCGAGCAACTCGGCGTTCGAATCGGAAAAAACTCGTTCGACACTCGACTCGTTAATTAACAAGCTGGTGGAGCATTCATTAGTAAACGAGCCAAGCTTGAGCTAGGCCATGCTCGGCTTGATAAGCTTGTGAGCTAGCTTGACTCGGTGGCTTGTTGAGCTAAGCTCGCGTGGAATGATTAATTACTCTTCTAAACATGAAAATTATCTTGTTAATAAGGATATGTAATATAAAATGTTAACTGGTCAACATGTCCACCAATTGAATTAGATGACCATAATGTGAAAACTCGTAATACACATTGTTCAAGTGTTGAATTTGGGCTGTGCCCAAGAAGTGAGAGGTTGAAACTTGTTTTACCGGCGAGAAAAACTAGATGAACAGAATTGGATCTTACACCTTTGACTTCCAAACAAACGATCAAACATCACAGTTCACACCTCATTGAACAAAGTTCAAACAAGGGTGTTCAATGTTTTGATGAACTACGAGGCAAATCTACATTAAATTAGCCCTACTCCTATGGAGGTTCGGTGAGAGCTCCAAAAACTACGACTATGGCTAAAATCTGCAGAGGAAAAGATAAAAAGATAAAACTTGACAAGTGGTGTCGAGTTGTGATTTTTGCGAACCCTTTCTCTGTCATCTTCACCTCCTATTTATAGCCACGAGAAGTAACATGGTGAAGAAACTGCTCTGCTGACGTGGAGTGACGGTTACCCTCTCAACTGCTATGACAGTTACCCTGATGTTGGATGTAGACCCTCTTCAATCTTGGCCCCTCCTCTTGAGACCTCACTCCATGCCCTTGGTATCTCCTCCGTAGCTTTCCTTATCTATAGAGAAAAATGGCTAAGGCATAAAGAAATACCACTTACCACATATGAGTGGGTATTTGAATAACATGAGTAATAAATGGCAAAAAGTACTTCACCATTAGTAGAGTAAAGAGACCACCTGCTCACATGACCCCCTTGCCTTGGCCATACCATGGGGGTATACATTGGTGACCCCCTCACCATACCATTTGGCATCCTACATGAGGTCATATGGATCACCCACGCCACTATATCATCCTCATGGGGGCCGGCGTTGGTGACCCCCCACCCCCTGATCATACAATGGTGGTGGTACGTACTTCCCCACCCCCCTCTGCGTGTCATGGTGGTGGCTCCCATACTTAGTCAAATTTGAATATGCATGGCGTGCGTGGTGGCACGGAGTAATGGGCCAAAAACCCAATCCTCATGGCCCACTCAACTAATTTAAACTGATATGATTAAGTTGGCCTTATAAAGCCATTTAATTCCTTGTTTTTAACCGATGTAGTACAAGGTTAATTTTTATGGGTAAACAAAACTTGATACAAACCTTCCTTCCTTGACCCATTAATTACTGGTAGGCGATGTTTTCACCAGAGTGAGGGCATGACCCAGCCAATCTTCACCTGTCTTTTTTAGATAATGGGATTGAGCTTTATTGAGATAATGGGCCTGAAGTCCATTTACTTGTCCAATTGAGTACACAGTAGAATTCTCGATATCCAGTCCGGCCTGTGGCCTTCATCACCACCAAGCCCAAGGTGAGAGTTTGACACTCTCTCTCTTTGCGCTCAATCCAGAGTTTGAAGGTGCAACTGGTTATGCGATGATGGATCTTGGCCCTTGGGAGGAAATGTCCTTTTGGCAACAGGGCCACAGTATCCGCCCGTCACTGATCCAACAGTTGTAAAAGCCTTAGCGCTCCGGAATGCGATCAGAGAACGGTAAATCTAGAGACTTTCACTTCAGTTCTTTGTTGTGTGGGGATGCCAAAGTCCATAATTGATCAGTGCAATTCTGCTCTGGAGGAATCTTGAAGGAAATTTGTGATATGTTGGATGCTCAGCCTTTGTTTAGGCTTTCAGTTTGTATGGCCGAAACAATAATAGGGCGATAAATTATATTGGGTGGTCGGTCATTTTCCTATATTTGTGACTTTTTATTATTGAGGAGGTTGATTTCATGAAATGATTACGTTTTTGTTAGTAATATATATTGACATTATTCTCTCCTTAAGAGCGATTTACTGATACCAGAGGTAAGATAGCCTAACGGTAAAGCTGTCGCGACAGTGAAGGCTTGGGAGTTGCAGATCCCAGGTTTGAATCCAAGCGAGGCCCGTTGGTGTTCCCGGAGGTACAAGGCTGCTGGAGGCGAAGCCCCGTTGGCGTCGAAATTGATTGCAGGTGACCCCCAGGTTTAGTAGGACCCACTATCACAAAGTGGCACGTGGGGCTGAAGTTTCTAGATAATAATAAAAAGAGCATGATAGAAAAATAGCAATAATCAAGAATAAAATAGCAATATTTTCATTAGAGTTTAATGTTCGACACACCGTATCATTCAATAAGATTTGCACAACCAAATATTATATTGGAATCCAGAACCCTCATTGCTTAGTTCATTTTTTTTATAAAGTAATGCAAATAACACCTATCATTGATTACAATCAATTGGGACTTGGAAACTTGCGAGGCCCCCAAATATTAGAGTTCTCATATTAAGAATGTGTGGCTAAAAGCCTGACGTCATTGTTTACATGGCCCAATTTGTTTTATTAGGTTGACCCTTAAATTTAATATTTCTATTTAAGGGTTATTTTGCTTGGGAGTTGTTATACCATCTCCAATAAAATTCCAAAATTTCCATTAAGTTTCACAAAACATCCTCCAACAAGGTTCCACAATGCTAAAAGTGTTAAAAATTAAAAAAGTTGGGGCCAAATTATATCTGACACACTATAGATAAAAGAGGCAACTTACCAAGGCTTACCATCAGCTGACGTTGGGACGCACCAGACAGAGCAACCACGACGCACGCACCAAAGGTAGCAATCAATGGCTTCCTTTGCGTGAGGTACACCTCCCACCTCCATGCTATTGAGAGCGTTGTTTCCTCTCTCGCACTGTCGTGAAGTCTGAGTTACCTTGCTGCCGCCGGTCAGCTCTGTTACTTCTCCTTTTCCTCGGTTTCCCTTTCTTTTTTGCTCCCTCCTTTCCCCCCAAAAAAATTACATGTTGTTTAAGAAGAAGCTTTTTCCATAGGTATCCCCTAGACGGGAGACAACTAAATTACGATAAAAATCAACATCTTTGCAGGCCATATCACAAAATAGAAGAAGGGGAAAACGTTGGTCGACAAGTGTACGAACCAACGATCTAAGGGCCTCTTTTGCCATGAGATGGACATCTTTTTTTATAACTACGCGGAGCGAAATGAAACAAGGCATGCTCAAATGACTATAATAGCACCTAAATCACTTGCTGGATAGCTCCTCCCATCGCGTAGTCCGAGTCCTTCACATGGATCATCTGAATAATGACATGTGCATCACCACAATACAAAACATTAGTAAATGAATGAGCCAGGCACCATCTCAGAGCATCACGAAGGACACAATACTCGATAAGGAAATGATAATATATGAGAAGATAGAAACGCCCAAACACAAAGTTTATATAATTTTCTGTAGAGAAACCAATAAATCCAATGTTACCCCCTATTTAATTCTTGGTGCCGCCATCGAAATAAAACTCTTATGGGTATGGAAGGAGGAACAACATTCAGAGCAGATGAGCCTCCAGCAGTAGAGAAAGTGTGTCTAGCAGCTCGGAGGGGATGGCTTTGAGCTAAGTCCCACTCCACTACCTGGGCATGATAATGGCGAGCCAGCATATTAGGAAGATATTGTAAGTGGTCATATGTTTTGGTGCATCTGCTTTTCCAAATCCTCCGAAAGAGAAATATCAGGCGTGCAACCTCCACCTTTGAGAGACCTGCATAAAAAAAAATCTATGTTAAGCAATAGCCACTAGGGCTGGCTATTTGGTTTTACCCGAAACCGGACCGTATAACCCGGATTGGGACCGGATAGCAAACAATCCAATCCAATCTTCGAGCTTAGATTTGAGGTAAAAAACCGTTTGGGACTGGATTGAAAACCAGCTAAAGACCGGATAAGAGAGCCCAACACCCAAAACTTAACCAACTTCTCACCATTTGAGTCCTAAAGGCCACTTAAATCCCCACAAGTTCAATCTAAAATCAAGACCGAATTGGGACTGGACCGGGTTAAGACCGGATCGAATCAAGACCGGACTTTATCCAATCCAATCTTTGGTCCTTATATTCCCGAAAAGACCGGACTAGGACCGGATCAATTCCGGCCAATTTAATCGGACCAGACCGTATAGCCACCCTTAATAGCCACATGACAGTCCTTAATCGGAATCAAAATAAAATATGCTCGAAAACCAACAAATGCCATAGCGCGACTGCAATACGCACAATTACAAACAGGGCAAGAAAACCCCTCAATATCATCATCATTAATTATTTCTTTATTTCTTGAGGTGCCTGTGGTTTTTGTAAAACTAAAACAAAAAGAAAAGACATGTGCAGTAAAGTAAAACTAAGCAAGTTTGGATGGACGAGAGAGCATATAAGGAAGGTGTTGCATAGGCAACCTCCCCCTAGGTCTCCTGGTCATGTATCTCTCATTATCTGGCAATATATGAGATGTCGATTTCTTATTCCGTTAGATCCCACCTTCTGTCGAAGAATTTATCCGAACTAATAGGCAACAAAGACCCTATGGATTTCTCCTAGGAGACGTCACGTTGTTTGATCGAATGAGAATCGATAGAGTAAGACTGTGACTCGCTATGACACAACACCAAACAATGGCCAAGTGTAAGTTGTAACCAATGAAAGGGACTGCAGTATAGTGGCACAAGTAATAAATATCGAATCCACGGGTCTCTAG